TTCGAAGGCGTCAATACCATGAGTGGCAGGTGGCTGGATTTTACGGAGACTTGCCACGGTCTCCAACCCTAGACAGAAAATGGTTCTTAATGTAATTGCCGACGATTCTGTCAAACTACCTTGGCCGTCCTGAGGTCTAGAAACGAGATGGAGAAAGCCTAAAATCTATACCCATAGTGGTAGTAACAGCAGATACAACAGTAATGCAAGATAGCGAGAAGTGTAAAAACGTTAAAGGGCTACATTAATTAAGCCCCTTGTCTTGGAAATATCAAACGAACTGGCAGTGGCGTTGCATATCCTGCGTTGAGTTCGTTCAGGATATGCAGTGATTCTTTGCTCAATATTCTAACTCGCCGGATTATTGATCGATCACAGTGAGATTTGCCTAGTCAAGTTGATGGGTCACCTATAGCATGGACAAATAAACGTTCTGGACAGCGATTTGGACTACTTTTTAATGTTGATTAATTCCTGTTTTCAGAGTTTTGAAATATTTTCCACTGTAAATGTGTTCTCATTCCCCACATTAAATGGGAGACGCAACGTTATTAATTTACTTGTAAGGACGAACATCATACATGTTTTACAGTATGAATCCCAAAGTAGTTATCTGGACAAAAAACATTTTGAGACATCGTTTAAAGAATCGATGAGTTATCTACAATAAACCTGGAATATACGGAACTGTTACATTGAACTGGACTGGACTGAAATGAGGATGAATTAGAACAGAATTAATTAATTAAATTTTCTAGATATACAAGTGGTATAAAAGTATTCGATTTCGCATGAAAGAAGTTTGATCAACAATACAGCATTTGATGGTTTGAACCGCAGCAGTTCATTAAGTTTACAAACACTATGCGGAGAGTGCGAGAAGCGGAATTTAAATGCCCGTTGGAAAGTTTTGGCTTTCTATAAACGGAAAGGACGAATGAACTCTGAGCATTACGCCGTATTAAAATACCCAGAAGTGCGAAACGCTACTATTCTGTTGCTTAGATGTGAACTTGAGGTAATTGTTACAATCCTGCGGATTGAAATAGTCGCTTAATAAATTAACGGTATCATATTTTGCAGCAGAAAAGCGTCACGTATATAAAAAATGAATAAATCGTTACAGCCAATAGGAAGAGCGATTAAGTTGTACCGTTTATTAATGATCCATGTAGGTTTCTGCTTAAGTTCTATATATCATTAGCTCAGAACTATATCCGCTGAAAACTCGTTCTGGATGAAATGCTCCTCACTGTTAAAGTATTACGGCACAAAACTTGTTTTTGCCTTAGGTGAACTTGCTTAAATAACTAGTAGGAACAATACCACTTTTGGCGATTTGTAGCTGTTCTTCATATGCAGCTTCTTTCGTTTATCTATTTTAAGCGGAAAACAGTCAAACCTTCCAGCCGCTCTACCTTTTCGGATACTTTCGGTATGTTTCCTACATTTCGTTTCTATTGCTTGTAGAATAAAGTAGACTGTACCTAGATATCTGGTCGCAGTACTACCTACATTAGCCGAATCGTTGGTTTTGCGATGTGCAAAGCAACATTTATTTGAGCTCAAGTACAACGTGAAAGATAGAGCCGTTTGAAGGTGTAGTGACCGTTAATGGTTTACACACGACTTAAATGCGGTTGTTTTCAGAAAGTCGTTTTTGGTCAGTTCAAGTCGACGCTCACCGTCTACGTACGACTCGTTACACAGCCGATAGAGCGCTGAGTTTCTCAGAATGAAGGTACATCGCCATTCCTCTCGTGATGACGACTCGGACCGTAAGGAAAGCCGACGATTGTCGTCGTACCGCCACCGACATGACGATTTGGTGGCAGCGTCGGCCCGAAGAAGCCGAAGTTCAGACCGACACCGGCGCAGCGGCGCCATTGACTACCATCACCACCACCAAAGTGGCCGTCACTCGGAGACGCGACCGACCTCGTCCGCTTCGCAGAATGGTGACGGGCCGGTTGGCAGTGTGCATGGCGTCCGCCGAGGCGCAGATGCACTCTCACATATCTCCAGTCACGCTCACGCCTATGACCAGCGTGACCGTGGCCATGACCATCGGTCGGCAATCACCACGACGACGAAGGCCGAGAAAGAGTTGCAGCCCGGCAGTGCATCGCAGGATCAGCAGGAGGGCGCCGCTACGGCTGTGCTTGATGTGACTCATGACGCACAGCTCGGTCGAGGTGGGGAACCGCGAAGAGTCGTGGCACCACTGGCGCAGGCACCATCTTCCGACGGCGTAGCACCGTCTAGCTCGACGTTCAGATCGGTAAATGTTACTTTATATCACTTTTGTTGTGAATGTACGCCGTACGCCGCGTGTCCCCTTCCTGCCCCTTCTGCTCTGACGACGTCGAACTGTTGAGCACGTTGGCTGGATCGAGTCACTTCGCGTTCCACGGTGTCTTCTCCTGCAACGAAATTGATTAAGAAAATCATCAATGCATATTGACACTCTGGAGGGTCGGCGATTCTAATTTTCTGATTCGGATTGGGGGAAGGGGTGGAGCATTCTTTTCTGTTTGTTTGCTGTTACTTTGCTTTGGCAAAGCTTTTACGCTGTGTATTTGTCGAGAACCATATTGTTATGGTTGATAAAAGCCTGCCCAGGGCTTTCTACGATCTTCAATTTTTTTGCGACTTGTGCCCATCTTGATCCAGCCAGCGTCTTTCGTCTGGCCATTGATCTGGAGGTTTACCTACGGGCCGTTTACTCTCTGTTGGAACCCCGTCTAAAGTCTCCCTGGTACAGCGATTTTCGGTTATTCTTGTAACGTGTCCTGCTCACTGCAGCTTCAACATTTTCACTTATGCAATCATATGCAGCCTCTTGTTTGTGCTCTAATCCATTCATTCGTCCTCCAGTCTTTTCTTAACATATATCTTTTCATGGTGTGTTACGTAGTCTTCAGTTTATGAGCAGCTTTAAGGCCCACAGTCCACGTTTCGTACTCATAGGTCAGCACTGGGAGCACATGGTTATCGAAAACATTCAACCACAAACGCAGTTTTCCGGATAGGAACATTTTTAATCGTTCGAAAAGCTCCATGCCATTTTTATTCTTCGGTTAATTTCACATATTCGGTTCTTCCTTGTAGTGATGCACAGTTTTAGATAAACCTCTTCAAGATTAAGTTCTTGTTCTTTGACTTTAACTGGTTGCGAGTCACGTATTTGTCAAATGACCTGAGTATTCTTCAGGTTGATTTTCAGTCCTACTTTTATGCAGGCGTCATTCTCCTCGTGGACTCTTTGTTGGAACTCTTCTGGTGACTTTGAGTCGACCGTCTATCAGAGAATCGTGAAGCAAACAGCATTTTTGTTCAACTTTGGATTTTCCGAAACGAGTTTCTCGAAAATTCTTCCGCTGCGGTTTTTGTGCATAGCACTAATATTAGTAATGTTGCGTCACCCTGTGTATATTTGAATGCCCTTTCACATTTTGAACTTGCATGCGCTTTCGTGAAGATTCACTCAAGAACTTGCATTCTTGTTAGTGATGGCGATGAGGTCTCTGTATCTTTTCTGGACTCCCTATTTCCTCAAGGAGTCCATTAGAGAACAGACGTCTACTGAATCGCAAGGTTTCTCGAAATTGACGAAGGCCAGACAGAGAGAAAGCTGATATTCGTTGCATGTCTGAATTATTTGTTGCACCACCAGTAGTGATTCATCGTGTTGAATTCACTTCCGAATCCTGCTTGCTCTTTTGG